AGGCGGGCCCCAGACCCTGAGCTGAGTTAGGGGCCCCAAAATTTCTGGTGGTGGCCCTGACACAAGGTATATGTGGACAGTGTTAAACACACATTCCAAGTCTCCTGGTAGTTCCAGGGGTGTCCCACATTTTAAATCATATACAAAATCCCTGAAAACACACAATCTAACATACAATAAATGTCAGATTTTGTGTGTGATTTCAAGGACACTGTATATGATTTGCAGTGCCCACCACAATACTTGCTAAACAGGGGCCCGGTTGGGTGCCGCAGACTTTTAAGGGCCTGACTCGGCCTCTGTGATATCAGCCATCAGGGAGGAAGTGACAGCCTGTCCCTTTCTCCAGATTCACAGAGAGCCGCTGGAGGAATGGAGGGAGGAGGCTGGAGGCAGCACAAAGGCAGAGGAGAGGCTGGAGTGAGTTGCTGCAGCATGTTCACTCCCATCAGCCTCAGCCATCACCAGAACATCAAGCAAGCCACCCTCCTGGACACAACGGTACGCTAACAGGAGGGTTGCTGCAAATATATGAACTATAACATACATTTGTGTCAGATAGTTTTTTGTTTTTTTTTACATTGTTAAATGTAAAAGGCTGAAAAGAGATATGCGTCCATCAAGTTCAGCCTTCCTCACATCTGTTCTTTGTTGTTGATCCAAAAGTAGGCAAAAAATAAAAAAAATTTAATGTATTTCCAATTTTGCAACAAGCTAGGGAATATAATTCCTGTTTGACCCCAGAATGGCAGTAAGGTTTATCATTGGAGCAAGAAGCTATTACCCTACAGTTGAAAAATGATATAATTGAATATTATGTTTTTCCAAGTATGCATCTAGTTGCTGTACAGACTTTGATAAAACCACTTCTTCAGGCAGAGAATGTCACATCCTTATTGTTCTTACGGTAAAAAAAAACCCTTTCCTTTGCCTTAGACTAAATCTTCTTTCTTCCAGTATAAAGGAATGACCTCGTGTCCTATGTATAGTCCTGTTTGTGAATAGATTTCCACACAGTGGTTTGTATTGGTCCCGGATATATTTGTATAATGTTCATAGGCGTGCGCAGCCTATTGGATCCTTGCTACTGCGATCCCTGGTGGTCCAGTGGAGAGTGAACTCTAGCCCCCTGTGGGGCTAGAGTTCACTCTCGCGAGATTTGAGCGTTGCCGTGGCAACGCTCATATCTCGCGAGAGGAACCCGGCGGAGCTGCCGGCAATAGCTCCGCCGGGTCCTTTCCTGCCTCCCTCCCTGCATGTGGGTCGGTGGGGAGGGAGGCTGAGAGCAGAGCCGGCGCTCGGATAGCGCCGGCTCTGCATGAGCCGACAGGGGAGATCCTGAGATCTCCCCTGCCGATCTCAATACATAGGCGTGCCGCGGGATTAGGGTGTGCCCAGGCACACCCGGCACACCCCGTGCGCACGCCTATGATAATGTTATCATATCCCCTCTGAGGCGATGTTTTTCTAAACTAAAAAGGTTTAAATTTTCTTAACCTTTCTTCATAGATAAAATGTTATTTTCCTTTTATTAATGTGTGTGTATGTATGTACCAGAGTGTGTATCTAAGTGTATGCATATGTCTGTCAGTGTGTATCTGAGTGTGTGCATGTATGTACCAGAGTATATATATCTGTGCCAGTGTGTATTTAAGTGTGTGTCTAAGTGTCAATGCATGTATCTGTGTGTCAAGGTGTTCATATATGTTTGATGGCTGTGTGTGTGTGTCTGTGTGCCGCAGTAGCTGATGAATCCTCCAAACTGAATGCATTTGTGCTTGTTAGGATGTCTGGAGTTAGATGAAGTTTATAAAACAATCCTATGAGAAGCTTTGTTCTGGAAATGTTTCAATAATGCTTCTCTGTGAGAATTATTTAATTGGACTATGCTCAACATGGATCTTTATTAGCTGTAGGAGCTAGACCTAGAGCTAATTAAATAAATAATAAGGGCTTCAGAAATATTGGAAAAAATAGGTATTTACTAAAATTTGTATAATTAAATACATACATATTTTTTTTGGATATAGTTTCGTCTTAAAATCATTTATATTTTATTCATTTATTTTTAATTCATTTTGTA